GTTTCAGTGCCCTGTAGTCGATACACATGCGAAACCCCCGTCCTTTTTCGGTGTGAACAGTATGGGTGTCGGCGAAGGGCGACGAACTAGGGCGAATGAATTCCTTTTCTAGCAGGTAATCGAGCTGCTTCCTCAGTTCGTCTAGGTTCGGGTTGGTTCAGTCGAACTGTCGTTGTACTGTTGGCTGTGCCCCGTTCCATTTCTATCCTGTGATCGTGCGGTCGCTGAGGTGGCAGTCCCGTCGCAGGTCGTCCGGGAAAGATGTCACTGTACTGTTTTAACAGTGCCGCCAGGTCACTCGGTACGTCGGTCAGCAGTTTCCTGTAATATCGCCCCCCTTGTCTGCTGCCTCGGCTTCCCGAATGTCAACCGGCGTACACGTCGGCTCCGGCCACAACAGCGCGTTTCATCGTGATCGCGTTGACACGCACCGACGAAGACTCAGGCGAGCCCCAGCGAGGTAAGGCGATTTGTTACCGTTCACAGTCGCCGGTGCAGTCACCCGTCGTCCAGTCAATTCGCGATTGTGTCGTCGCAGCCAATCAGGCCCGAGTAAAATGTCGGTTCCGTCGAGGGTCGTTGCGAGCATTTCCTGACTAAACGTGAAGTTACCCCCGCATCGAATCCGAACTCGGTCTACGCGTTCCCGTATTGCCAGCGGCGTGCCGTCTACCAGTCAGTGCGTCTATCTCAGGTAAGCATCGGTCCAGTGGCAGTCGCAGATTTTCGTGCTGTAGCAGTGTTAATGAGGCTGTGGCTGGCTCCCCCGTCTACGAAGATTTTAACTAAGTCCGTCCCAATTTTCCCACTGAGCAGTATAGGGCTATCTACCGTGGTACCCTCCTTATTCGGCCGGGTGTGGTCGATTGCGTGAACCGGCACAATCACTCGGTGAGGGTCGGTTGGGTCGGGCGAGCGGCGTGACCTGTCAGTAGAAGAGGTCCGTCTGCTACTGACTTCCAGCGTTTCCCTGCTGCTTGGTCCTGTGTCTGCTGCTCAGCTTCCCCCTTTCCCTTAGCGTTTTCCGGGCATTCGCTCTTGCGGATGTCCCGGCCGATTGCACGCAAAGCAAGCGCCCTTTGAACGTGCGGCAGCGGCATTTGCGGCGACGGCGCGTATTGTGGCGCTCCTCGTTCGTACCCACGAGGCCGATGTCCCCAGGTGGTTGTTTCCGTAGGACCCCGGTCTCGGTCCGGCGAAAGAAGTCGAGCTTCTCCGCCATAGCTAGAATTTCCTGAAAACTCAGTGACGCCGCGAAGCTGGATTTCCTGAGCGATGTCCTGCTTCAGGCCGCCGATGTAGCGGTCGATGCGTTCGCTCTCATGCATGTAGCCCACCTGCTCGCATAGCGCCAAAAATCCCGCTCGTGTAATCCTGGACGGAACCGAGTTGGCGCCAAGTGCGGAGCTTCTGTCGCGCCGAGATCGAGGCCGCGATTGGCTCAAATCGAGCGTCGCAGACCTGCGCACCACGCGTCCCACGTGCGATACTGGGGCACCTCCACGAAATACGACGGCGCCCAGGGTCCGGTTTGTCCTTCCCGTTGTCGGTAGTGTCGCGTAGTCGAATCGGCTCGTGACGATGACGCGCCACCAGTCCATTGGCGGGTCCTCGCAGCAACGACACGGCGTATCGAATCTTCGCCGAGTCCTCCGAGACGTAAGTTGGCGTCGAAGAAGACATTCATTGTGAACAACCACGCCTGAACGTAGGACCACCCCGTTGACTCGGGTCAAAGCAATGGCGGGCGCTGCGGCTTCAGCGGCATCGGTGACGGCAGTCCCGAATCGTGGGTTGGTGCCGAAATCGTGACGCGAGGCTGACTTGGGGCCGCATGCGTCGCTCTGGGGTGTGTCGTGCCGTGGGTCGTCGTCTCCGTCGGGGCGGACGACGCCATCACTGGCCGCGCTCGCGGGTTGCCCCACACTCCCGTGTTGTGATGTTGAGGGTTGCATGGTTGAATCGGAGTGCCAGGTGCTTGAGATTGTTGCTTGTTGTGCCCTCATGAGGTCATTTTGCAGCGATGAGCGTTCTGCCGTTAATGCCGCGATTTCCTCGGAGCTTTCGTGCAGCTGTCGCAGCAGATCGTTCAAGCGCTCCTGCGTGAGGGTGGTGACGTCGATATTTTCAGCCATGACGAAGGGCGGCGGCTCGTCTTAGTCTAGGCGCAGTCGTGCTGCGTTTACGAGAGAACGCGAGGACAGCGGCTCCTAGGGGCTAAGGTGCGTGAGTCCCTTCGAGTGAAAAATCAAAGTTGATTCCTGGTGTGCGGAGATGCGCGGTCCGAAAGAAAAGGGGCTCTGATACCAAGTGTTACGGGTGCAATGAATCGAAGTAGAGAGGATTGCACTAAGGTGTCAAACGAGTACAAAATGTGAGCGAAGGCATGAGCGAACATTTATACGCGAAACATGCAAAACGGTAACGGCGGTGCGTGCGAGCTTGCTAGTGCTACGCTGGAGCGAGGCTCGGGCTAGTCCCGAAGCGTAGGCCGATACGGCCATGCCAGCAGTGCGAGGTTGGCAAAACAGTGCGCGCGAAGTCGGCGAAGTTCCGTTAGCAGTAACGGCGCGAACAATCGGCTGTTGCTGTACGCGATGTAGTCGGCCCGTAAGGAATGCCGAGAAAATTCTTACAGAGCAGCAGAGAGTTGCTTATCTGCGCCATCGAGTATCTTGTTCCAGATTTTATGAAGCATCCTAGGCCGGCAAGCTGGTCGTATAAATAGCTTCTTTTATCTCAACCTCTGAAATATCCTTATTGGCCAGAGATTCCTGCACGGAATAGGATCTCTCTTGGCTCAAGGAATCTCACGTATCGCTGCAACTAGGTCCGCCGCCAGAGGAATGCGTTATACTACGAGTCAGACATAAAATGGTCGACTTCACTGGCGCAGTGCGCGCAGCAGTCTTTGTGCGCATTGACAAGAGCTTTGAGAACAACTGATCAAGAACACAGAAAGAACATTGCATGCGTCGCGCAAGGAAAATCAAATCAACTCACACTTCGACTCTCACGAGATTGCATGTGCCACATGGTCGGCGGCAATAAAAGGGGTTCTGGGGGTACCACTCGACTCGACCGGCTTCTGATTCTCCTTGATAGTACGAACGGCATCATTCCATCCACCCGATGATTCCAGTAGCTCACGAACTGTTCCCAATTCCGCGTCGGTTACACCATGTCTCTTCCCTGCTTTCTTCGCATGCTGTACTTTAGCGAAAGTGTACATCTTCTCCGTTTTCGCCTCCCGCTCCGGCGGTTTACCCATTGTTGGTCTTCTCCTCTTCGCTTTTGGCGATAACGCTTAACTGTGCTCACCAGTTTCTCTTTCATTTTCCGTGTCGAAATTCTTCTTTCAGCTGGAGAAGCGGCCACGACGCGCGACACAGCCGCGCGTCAGATCGGAGAGTTAGCTAGCCTCCACAGAGCGGATTTGCATGCTCTCATTCGGCGTGTACGATCCCCAGTCGTCTTCGGATGCACGTGCTTTGGTTTCCCTGCATTCCATTCCTACTTAACCTATGCGCGCTGCTTATCCCTGCAGCTTGCTGTATCACCCACCGCTCACCTTCAAACTTGCTAGTTGTTTTCTTGTTCAAGTTCTTTGGTTCTCTAGAACCATCCATTGCTTGTTCACAAGCGACTTCTATCCCCTCTTCTGAACCCCTCCGTACAGGTGAAGAGGTTGCTGAAGAGAGCAGCAAATGGGATACGCGTGGGCTGCAGCCAAGGCGTTAGGGTACATAGCTCGGAACACACCGCATCCCACAGTGCAGGACCTGCAGATTGCTGCTTACTGTATCTGGTGATGAAGGAACATTAGCAGCACGGAATGGCACTGCTTCTGCAGCCCTGATGGCGAAGGTGCTGCACCAGCTGCTGCAGGAACTACTGCTGCTGGTGGCGGCTTGCGCTTTGAGGGGTAAGACGCCTGACATTCTGATGGACGGAGTTTTAGGTGTTTGATGTCACGAAATCATATGCTGCTGAGTTTGTGTCGAAGTGTGAAACCTGAATGGTCCAAGCACAAGCACCTATGTCTGCATCCGTATGCTGTTTTCTTATTGTTTTCCTCTATGACGTCCCTCCATGTGCAGCTTTGACATTGGTCGTGTGTTGGATAATGGAGCACCGCTTGTGGCATCAGCTGGCAAGGTAACGCCTGCTTATAATATTGTCTGCTCAGAATGCATGGAGGTGCGTGATTCATGGTTGTGTTGCGTAAGTCTTGGTGATGCATCGCTGGTGGCGCAGCTTACAGCTTGGCAACCTTTTTGTTTATGTTGTCGATTTGGGTTGCCATGACATGAGATGGTGGAAATCAAGCAACAAGGCATACCGTCCCTCTGGTCCATTCTCAACATTTTGCTCCATCCATGCTGAACCTCTCACACACAACACCACATTACGCCCCACGCCTACCTCTGCAACGTGCCCAATGTCACAACATAGCTAAATTTACGTCTTTCCGATCCTATGGTGCCCAGGAATATGATATTGCAGCAGTTGGGCGAGGGGGGAAGGAGGCGATTGCCAAGCAAAAGCAGTCCTACGACGGAGACTAGGTGAGTAGAATGGGGTCATGGTGCAACGCATGCCTTTCCGTGCACCACTGAAGGCGTAAAGCTTCAGGTTTCTAGCTCCATGTGACGGACATTGCTCTTCTGGCTTCCTTCTTTTTGAACGGCCCTTGCCATTGAATAGTGCTGACCTGACAGCACCGCAGAGTTTTAGGAATAAACTGGAGAGCTACAATTGGGACGAAAACGTTTTGGTGGTGAGGTGACGGCAGGCGGTGGGGAGGGTTGATGGTGACGATCTTGAGCCAGGCTGGCGTCAGGCTGGTTGGTATAGCCAGGTCAAATACAGGTCAGTTTTCCTGACGAGAGAGCGAATCCCAACCAGCTAGTCATTAGAAGCACCAACCAATACGAGGTCTTTCTCTCTTCCTTCTGCACACTTTCTGTTGTCACAGGTCTGGACGATGTGAGCGATTCATGGATGTAAGCGATATCATTAGAGACGAGGATCTGGAAGCACCAGCGCAAGCAGCAGCACCACCAGCAACAGGTTCATCAAACCCCGCTGCAGCAGCTGTTGGCAAGCAGAAGCAGAAGCAAGAAGCTACAGCTGGAATCAAGCGTGGTGCGCAGGATCTAATGGCTGAGATGCTGCCAAGTGGCACCAGTCGGGGGTCGGTGATGGTGGCAGTTCTGTGGTAGTGTATCACCCGCATTGTCGAATTCCCTTAGTGCAAGGGAGAGAAACATGCTGAAGCGGAAGGCAAAGAGCATGAGCAGGGACGGGGGGAAGAGAGGAGGGGCACATGGTGGGGGGTGGGGGAGGTGGATGAGGATGAGGATGGAGGGGAAGGGGAGCGGGAGGCAGGAAAAAGATGCGGACAAAGAGTGTGGTTCAGATGGGAAGGAGGACAATAAGGTGCGTTCGTTAATTATCTTTTGGTTGTGAGCGCGACCATGCTTTTCACTTCACCCGGGTGTTTGAGTTGCAGCCTTGGGGGGATATGCACAGGATCTGTCGACCGTCGGTTGTACTGTCCCTCTTCCAGCTCTTCAAAGCGCCCTCCCTCACTATTTGTTTACCCCTCCCTTCCACCGCTCCTGCCTGCCACCCGCCATCAGATCACAGTAGAGCAGGTGGCAGCAGAGGGGGATGATTGGGAGGAAGAGGAGGAGGAAGAGGGAGAATGGCCCTTGCAGGCGCTGTGTGAACAACTGCTCACAGACATGTTTCACCCAGGTAATGATTGCTGTGTCATTCAGTCAAATGTCGCCCTTCCGTTTCAATGAATGCTCATGTTCCATCAGCGGTGGAAATCACGCGGTCCTGTTTCTTTGCACAACTACCTGGTGTTTTTGTCTGTTTTTTCTTCTTCCTTCCTTTACTTGTTTGTCTGTGCAGTGTGGGAGGTACGTCACGGCAGTATTCTTGCCCTCAGGGAGGTTATGTCCGCGCATGGGAACTGTGCTGCAGTTTGCCGCCCAATAGTTCCTTCTAAGTGGGCCAGTGCCAATGGGAATGAGGAGATAGAAGATGGGAATGGGAAGATGGAGCTGGAGGTGGTGAAGGAGGAGGATGATGGCAAGACTGTACCAGAGATGAGGGAGCTGGATGTGGGTTGGTCAAGCGCGCGATGGTGAGTTCGGAAAAGGAGGAAGAAGGGGTTAACAAGAAAATGGAGGTTGTGGATCATTGGGGTATCAGAAGAAGAACGTGTGGAGGCGGAAGGATTGGAGGATGTGAAGCAGGAAGTAAAAGAACGAGAGTTTGTGAGTAAGCCATGGTAGCTGTGAAGAGGGAGATTGAGGGGGGACTTCTTTAAAGGCAGAGGTGAAAGAGGAGGCGAAAGGTGAAGAGGAAGGTATGAAAACGAGAGCAGAGGAGGAATTGAAAGTAGAGGATGAGATGGGAGTAATCGAGGGGCGACTGGAGGGAGTCAAGAGGGAGGCGAAGGCAGAGTCGAAGGAAGGGAGTGGTGGCTGGCTAGGCCTCTCTATGGGCTCTGAGACGCCTAAAGAAAGCAATGGAGAGTCCGCGTCTGGGGGCAAGCTTGCTGCTACTGCTGGGGTTGTGTGAAGGAGGAGGCAGGAGAAGGGGGCGGGAAGGGGGGGGAGGATAACCGAGCTGAACGATCCGGATTTGACTTGAACGAGTTGCTGGTCTGTAAAGTGGAGGACACTGAAGCGAGTGTGACGAATCAAGAGGGCGTCATTAACCAAAATTCTGGAGGGAGGGCGCGTATGGGCTTGGACTTACATCTCTCTGACGGCATGCAATCAGAAGAGATGGGAGAGGGGGTGGTACGAAATTTGGGGAATGAAAAGAGTATTGAGGGGATTAAGGTAGAAGCCAACACGGATGAGGCTGAAGAGAAGAGCAAGCGTGAGGGAAGTGAGAAAGCTGTGGGAAAGGGGTTGGACTTGAACATGGAAGTTTCCGAGGAAGCAAATGAGGGGAAACATGTGGATGGGGGGGAAGTGGCTGAGGAGAAGAATGGAGAAGAGAAGGAGAGTGCGCTGGTGGTGGCACAACGTGTGAGGGCGGCGGAGAAAGGTGCAACGGCGACGATGGAATCTGCAAGGAAGGCACAGTTAGCTATAGAAGCTGCCAGGAAGGCACAGGCGGATAATGAGCTGTTTTTGGAGGACTGTGCCATTCGGCTGCTGTGCATCTTCGCTTTGGACAGTGAGTCATTCAAAACCTAGTTCGGCGCATGCTTACCTGCTCTTTTGGATATTATCCCTATACTGGTTGTTGTACTGTTTTCTCCTATTCATCTCTCCTGCCCGTTCTCTTACAAGAGGACTTTGTGCCACATCAGGTGGGCGACGCCATGGGTGGCTCACGTCACCCCTTTTACCCTGGGTCCCCTCTGTGCCCTTAGGTTGGAAGACTTTGCGTGTGTCGGACCAGGTGTGGTAGGCGCCAGTGCGGGACAGGTACGTGTGGACAGGCGCTTGAGTGGTGCTCAAATACCTGCCCTCCAGGGCTGTTGCACGCACACACTTGATGTGCTGCTGCAAATGCAGGTATGCAT